TGCCAGATAAACCACTTACACTGGTGTCTTGGCAGCAATGACCAGTATCCCTTTCTATGAACCTCAGTTTGCTTGAATTTTAAGGTGTATAAATTGCGGTGATATTGCCTCAGTTTTATGCCCAAGATTAGAAAACAAAATACAGCCGATGCTGGATGAAGAACATTAAAAGAACTACTCCAAACACAAATCCTTCTGTGGCTGCAAGCACAACAATAATCCGAAGGCCAGGCTGTTGGAGAGGTGCAAAGCAGCTATCTTTCTAGAGTTTTCTCTTTTTTATGACTAGTAGACCTGAAGCCGTGCAATTTAAGCTAAGCAGAGATGACACATACACAGATATAAGGCAACCCTCAGAACAGAAAGATGGGAAAATATATACAGGCCAAATAGGTTATTTGAGCTACAGGAGAGCAGCTGTATTGCGTACAAAGAGTTTCTCAATACACCTTTTTCTCTCTCACAAAATTTGACTTTAGGCATCTGCATCAAACTAGCCCGATGCAAGATACAAATCAGGATACAGTCACAACTCCAGCTCACCTTTGATGCTTCGAGCTCTCTTATTTTTTCTTCAGCTCCTGTTAATTTCTCCTTTAGCACTGCAATCTCTTTCTCCATAGGCATCACAACTGAACGCAGCTTCTCAGCATCCTCCTGGGCCTGCAGTTAATGCAATAAATTATGAATATAGTTTTCACCACAACAGTTTCAACTAACGGGGACATTTGGAGAAAATCTCTATGCCAACGCTAACAGCTGGCTAAACTTCCACTTCCAATACTCATTTATTTAGTTCAGCAGTCATCTCTGTGACAACAGGCCAATATTACCCCATTCACAGAAGGCAACTAAACTTTAAATCCACGTACGGATTAGGCCATGAATATCTGTTTTTAAGGAGAATGTTAGCAAATCTACCACTCTTGATACTTGGGAGAAAATTTACGGATCAGGCATTTCTAAATACAGACATTTTTCTGTTATATTAAAGGCCTAACTGTCCTGCAACTTACTGCCACAGACACATATAAACCAAGTGTAACACAACAGCTGCATGGTGAGTTATTGGCCGTTCATTTACTTACTCATGAAGTTAAAGGAAAAAGGACCTGCACAGTAATGCATAGTGTAGTTTTGTTCTGTTTTGGAAGCCCATTTTTCAACTTCAAATTGCTACTGATGTAGCATCAGGTTTTGGTGTTACTGTACTAAGTATTTCCAAACTATGTACAGGCAATTTATCAAAACCCCTGTGATTTTTTCAAAAAGTAGTTCTGAAAAGATCAGAGCAGGACAACAGAATGTGATGAGGAAAAAAAAAAAAAGAGAAAGAGCCAGGTAAAACAAGTGAGAATTAAAAAGAGAAATAGCATTGTGTTCAAATTCAGAATTGCACATCAAAGGGTGGCCACGACATCCCCACTTCTTAAATGCTCTGGGTTTCCTTCATGAATGCACTAAATACTTTCCAAATGAAAGTAACAGCTCCCATAGACTCCTCAACAGCAAGCTGAACACTCAAATATTCACCACAGTAAAATTCTTCAAGCCATGAAGAATTTAAGCAACTCAACTTGGTTGGTTTTATGTATGAAGGCTCAGAATGTTCAACTGTTCTCTACTGGAGGAACTCGGCAGGGGAGGGAAGGCAGAGAACTGTGTCCCAAAGCTGAAGTTTCAAAAGATGACACTTCTCCTGACCTGATCAGCAAAGACAGCTGCTAAAAGATAACACTCATGTGTTTTATATCTAGACTAGAATGCAGGTCTTAGAGACTGACTACTCATTTGACTTTCAATTTCTGGTAAGCCTATTTACCACTGTGTTCTGAGCAAGATTTTCAGTAAGAAAAACAGACCACATTTTTGCCCATTAAAGTTTTCTACACTTCAAATTAACAGACAAAATAAAATAATATTGCAGTATCTGTCAATCAGACAAATGCAAACAGGCCCTTGGGCTCTAAAAAGCTTTAAAGAAAACTCTATAGACAAAATTCATTTTCTTCATGTTTTATTCACTTCTGCTACATTTTTGTCACTGCTTGTTTGCTTGTGCAAAGAGTACAAATAAAATCTGCGAGGAAAGCGGGGGAGGGACATCACATGACGCAGTGAATTCAATCCCAGGGACATGTGACAGTGTCACACGTACATACATATCCTGTCCCTTGCAGCCAGCAACTCACCAGTTGAAACAGATGGGAGGGAGCAGGAGTTCAACTTCAAAGATTGCTTTATATTTCAGTTACTGTAACAGTTCTATTAATTTAACACTACCTATGGCCAGCTCATATGGACTAGAGCTAGTGCAACATTTTTAGGACTGCTGAATAAGCTTTTTCCTAATTATTCCTGATAACCGAAGGAATATTTCATTGCCAGTCTGATTTCACATGGTTCAACACTGAATATAGAGCAACAAATGTATCCACGTTGGAACCAACCCGCTCAGAGAAACAGTCAAAAAGCTCTCTGAAAGCAAAACCAGACTGTTGAGCAGCAACCAACTGGAAAGACAAAACTGTATCAAATTCCACTCGACAGAAAAATTATTCTAGCTTTTACTGCTTGGTAAACAGAGCTGAAGTTTGACAGCATGGTTGCAACATACTGCAAATGTTTCCTTTAAAAGTATGGTTGCAACATATTGCAAATGTTTCCTTTAAAAGAAGAAGAGGCGGGGGTGGCTGGCTGGGAGGGTAAGGATCCATATTAAAGGTCAGCGTGATACCGACCCAGACACCCGGAATAGCCTGTATCTGCTAACATTTTGTTAGCACTGGTCCTGGGTCTGCTTTTGAAGGTAAAGTGTAATTACTGACACACCTAAATTGAGGTTAAAGTTCCCACTCAAACTTCTAACAAAATGAGTGTATCTATCCTGCCAAAGCTATGTAAGGTCACACGTGGCAAGAGGTGCCACAGCACCACATTTCCTGCATTAAAAGGCGTTATTCAGACTCTTACCATTGAATCACAGAATGGTTTGGGTTGGAAGAGACTTTTAAAGACAACCCTTGCAATAAGCGGGGACATCTTTACCTAGATCAGGTTGGTCAGAGCCCCACCCAACCTGACCTTGAATGTTTCCAGGGCCGGGGCATCTACCCCCTCCCTGGGCAGCCTGTGCCAGTGTTTCACCACCCTCAGCATAAAAAATTTTTCCTTGTATTAATCTCAATCTCCCCTCTTTCAGTTTAAAA